CTGATTCACAAACTCCTCCATGACACGATTCTGCTGTTCGAGGATGTGAAAGGCTTGGTCACTAAGGCCAGACTGCTCATCAGAGTCTTAACTGGACTGACTTGGAACCTTGTGTTTAGTCTTGTGTTCTTTAGGTCTGAAATTGGCACCATGGAAGACCGGAGATGAATCGTGCTTTAAATCTCCAGAAAAACCATCAGAAATGGCCGCCGCGCGCGGATCCACGCGAGGAACGCGAGAGGTGAGCGAGGAAGACGCGATACGCGTGTTCCTTTCTGAATCAGCTTTCACATACACGCTTTCCCTGGCCACTGCTTTCTTAAATTCCGTTTCAAGTTTTAATTGATCCCTTTTAAACTTGAGATCAAGTTCTTCCTTTTTGAGCCGTAATTCAGATTCGTTAATGAGCTGACGCTGCTTTAGGGCGTGTACTTCGGCTTGAAGCTCTGCAATTCTCGCAGCTTCTTTTGCCCTTGCAACAGAAATGGAACTAGCTCGAGAAGATCGGCTCTACGCCGAACCACATCTGGATCGTTTCCTGTTCCTTAACAGGAACGATGTCTGTGAGACACTGTCATCAGGAGTAACATCAAGGTCTTGAATCCGGATCTCCGTTACACGCAACCAGTCGTTAACCGTGTGACAGAAGAAATTCAAACTCGACTCAATGTCAGTGAAGTAAACTACTGATTCCTGTCTTTGGCTCTCATCGATTAGGGCAGCATTATACTCCTCGTGTGCATCTGTAAATCTTTGAAAAAGGGAAGAGATCTCTGTCAGTTTCACCTTGACTGCTTCAAGATTGTTCTCATCCGTTAATAAGCTGTCAATTTCTTTACGCTTGGCCGTCAAGGCAGAGAGCACTCCGCCTCTTCTCTTTCTAAGTTCTCGGATTCTTTCCATTGTAACTGCTTCTTGATCCAGTGAAGAATAACGCTTCCGCGAACGGGTACTTGAACGACGAACACTTTGACCATTTTTCCCGGCGGAACAGGACAAATTGGCTCCCTGAACCACATGAGACATCGTCCAAAGTCCAACAACTGTCGTCTTTACGAATATAGTCGCAGCCTTTACGCGCTATAGTTTTTAACACACAAACTTTATTCTAGAACTTCTAAAACTGGTGCAGGGAAACAAGTGAACCGATGTGAAGTATAACGAAGTACAGCGAAGTATAGCGAAGTATCGCGGTACTGAAAAATAACAATTAAACAAATGCAAAGTCAAGATAAAACAACCTACAAACTGAACGAAAGCAATAAGGCAATCTAGAAATGCGAATGAAACAAACGAGATACTTACAAGACGATAGCGAGATAAGGACGAAAAACTAGGACGACTAAAAACCCAAAATAAATATACGATATGCAGAAAAATCCTAACACGAAGGACAAAGCTACGCGGACAATGAAAAACTAATGAACCAAACAACAGCACTAAAGGCGCGAACACGAAAATAACTAAGAACGCGGCGAACATAAAAATACTATAAAGGTGACGGAAAACATTCCTGGCGCTTACAGTTTTGCTGTGAACTTCTTCTTGGAGTTTTGGAATGGAATTGCACGTTACTTACAATAATGTTAGTTAATTAATTATTACACAGTCAAACCTCTTTAATCCTGACACCAAAGGGACAGAACCAAGTGTCCGCTTTACAGAGGTATCCGTATTATAGAGGTAGGGAATGTATGATTTTTGGCATTTCTGGGACGAAACAAACTATCTGTCTTATAGAAGTGTCCATAAGAAGAGGTTAGACTGTATAATTATTCTGTTAATTTAATCATTTCAAGGAAAAAATTTTGAATTTTGTCAATTCTAAAAGGATTATTTAATAGGCCAGTTCCCCCGAGCCTTTGTTTCAAAACGAGGGTAGGTGCTCAGCTCTTGATATTTAAATCATTTTTCATTCTCATGCAAATAAAACTCATTTTCACAAGAAAGGTTGGCACCTAGCCTCATTTTGAAAGTGAGGGTTTTTGGAACTCGGAAGTGGCCTATTGAAATGGAAAAGTTACAGTTTTGGATATAGAAAATAGAAATACATTGTAAGGAGTCTCTTTTTTATTGTGAAAATATTTAATATACATATGTACATATTATACGAAAATGGACAGAGAATTATTTTAATAAAGACTTTAATACCAAAAATGCACCTAAATATGACTCTTCGTGATTTGTGTGTATCAGCGAAAATGGGTCATTGTGGATGCAAGAAACGGTCCAGGGTTGTCTCACAAACGTCCACTTTTTTATATACCGGATAGAATGAACATATGATTCGAAACTAGATGGTTAAGTAAAGTTAACACATTTAGGAAATCCAGTGAATAATCCACCGAAAGTGGAATCTGGGGAAACATGAAGGCTGCAGAAAGTAAACCTATCAAACTGAGTTTCCGAATTCATTGTTCCGGGAACTCAACGGATAATTGAGTATCCTCTGAATTTACGAGCTGCGGAAACATGACGGCAGTTAGCGTTTCCGCAAGAGTAAACCTGACGGAAACGCGAGTATAAGGGATGCGTTTAAGCGTGTCCGCAGAAACTGAAACATGACGTATACACGTGTTTCCCGCAACGGTTAGTTACAATTCCGTCTGCGGATACTCAGGTTTCCGTGAGGTAACCGTTACAAAAACGAAAACGGAAACACCCTTTTTCAACCTTTGTCAGGATCCGAACCGTTCCGACTCCCCTGAGGGATGCCACATCAAAAGAGGGGCCTTGCTTGTTGGAGATCCATGTCTGAAACAAGTTACCTCAAGAAGTGGTGAGCCCGTTTACGCCCAGCTGTATTACGCCAGAAAGGAAGCAGAGATGATAGGAGAAGTACTAAAGGTCAAGCCACTAACCGGAAAAGAAGCTACCAAACGCGCGGTGCTCGAACAAATCACTTCAGTTGCATTAATTCACATTGCAGCTCACAGGAGGAAGGAAACCGGGGAAATTGCTTTGGCCCCAAATCCTGGGTATACGACCGAGGTTCCTAAAGAGCCGGATTATATTCTAACAATGTCCGACGTGCAGGCTGTTAAGTTGCGAGCACGACTTGTTGTACTCAGCTGTTGTCATAGTGGTAGAGGAACAGTCATGTCTGAGGGAGTGGTTGGTATGGCACGGGCTTTCTTGAGTGCTGGTGCTCGCTCTGTTTTTGTGTCACTCTGGGCCATTGATGACGAGGCCACAATGGAGTTCATGAAAAGTTTCTACAAGCATTTGAGATATGGAGAAAGCGCCAGTGTTGCTCTTCACCAGGCCATGAAATTTCTGCGAGAATTGGACAAGTTTTGTGCCCCGAAGTACTGGGCCCCATTTGTACTCATTGGCGATAACGTTACTATTGAATTTGGAGAAAATAAATAGAGGAGATGCAAAGGTATTAAATGATCATATGTAGAAACCAATTAGTATTTCAGTCTAAGGACTGAAGTCGTTAAAAGACAGTGTAGACAATGCAGTGTAACTTGTATTAAGCAGACACTCACAGGACTTTCGCTGGTGTCCTTAATAAAGAAGACCTCTACGTACAAATTTGCTAAACAGAAAACATGGGAAGAAAAGTTGAGGCAACCTGAACCATTCGCCCGCTTAATACGTGTAGTTTCACAATCGAGAATCTAAGAGGTCGCTGAAAGTGTTATCGCTTTGCCATTTCCTATATTAACCCAGTTTCAGAAATAAGTTGAGTGTTTTTCCTTGCGAGACTAAGTTTTATAATTTTCCTTATCTGAATTTAATCACTTGACAAGGTAAAAAAAAGTGTTACTTAGCTTGGTATAACGAAAATATCGACGACATGGGTGAGGGGTGAAATTACAGTCAATTATCACTGGTTGAATGTAATTGAAATGATTGGAAGTAATAGTTACAGCACATAGCTGTAACGTACTGTCCGGCCAGGTTATGGATGAAAGAACAGAAAAATGTCCTCTTGACCGTAGATAAAGCAGCTCGGAAGTCAGTTACAACATGCCACTGGCTGACGGTATCACTCAATTACTGACCTCATTCACTGTGACCACATATTAAGAGAGTCAGGCGTAGTCCTCAGCTCCCGGGGAGAGTGACCCCTATTCTTTACGATCAGCAGTGTCGGTTCCTTCACGTCAGTTTCGAATCAACAACTGAAAAGACAACGCCAACAGCTTGACGACACTTCTCAATGGTTTCTATCATTTCGTCTTTTATCACCCTGACAGGATCGACAAACTATTTGCGGTTAGCGGAGAGAAATGGCTTTGTTTTCTTTGACGTGTTGAAAAAAAGGTAAAATGGTTCAAATTATTTACAGCTCTGAAAGGCACCCCCATGACCACGATACAAAAGTTTGGCGCATTTGATGCCAAACAACCCACCTATGCTGAGGGGTAGCCACGTTAGTTTGTTTCTTTTTGTATAAATATTGCCACTTTATTTTCACTCTTTATCCATTATCACTGAACATTTTTTTATTATCATCAATTTCTCCGTGGACTTCACGTCACGAGAGACGCCATCTTCGGCAATAAAGGCTGCTCCTCGCGTTGTAGGCTAAGAAAGCTTACAACTGAATCTCTCATTATCGCATTTTTGTTTCATAAACATGAATTTCCAAAATAAAACGACCGTTTTTGCTGCGCTTTTCACAAACACGCCAAATCTAAAGTTCAAAAGCCGCCTTCACAAATGCGTTTTTTACTTCCGTCAATCATAACTACGATCAAAAGCAACGAACCTTGAAACACACAAACACACAAAACCGACTGAAATTCACCAACCACAGATCACAAACAATGGCCTTTTGAACCTGTTTAAGTAACGTTCTGTGTCCTAAGAGGTCCGCTAAGATCATTGACGGCAGCGAAAAGCGCAAACTTCAGTTGGCTTTTGAACCTCAGAGCTCGCGTGTTTTTAAAAAGCACAGTAGATTATCACACACAATGTTCGTCGCATTCTCTGTCGTTTCACAGGATAGAAGGCTTTCATTATTTTAATGACACTGAAAAAAATCCTTATTCTGGTGCAATCCAGTTAAATAACTTCAAGGCCACTTCATAACCAAAGAAAACACCCTAAAAATAGAAATCACCAGGATTACCAGGAAACAGAGAATAGTTTTACTTTAAAACACGAGGAAAGATGCATTTTTTAAACAATCCCTTCTTTAGTCTTGTCTTACTGAATCGCTGGCGAGTGTTAAATCACCGTTGGTCCACAGAAATCCCATTTAGGATCAGTCTTACAAGTCAAATGCCAATGTTTAATATGGAGGTTTTGGGTCAGTGGTTAGAGAATCTGATCTAGAACTCGAAGGGTCATGAATTCTATTCTCAACTGAGGGGGTGGGAATTTTTTCTGATTTTTCTAGTGATTGATTTCTCCCTCTAAATTAATCTCCCAGACCCGAGATGTCGAAAATGTGGATAACGTAATTCGCCACTTTTTCACGAGAAGGGAACTGGAGCAGAAATGCGTACCGCAAAATGTTTGTGGGATCATTACTGGGAACACGCCGGTCAGGTATTATACATATTTTTCCCTGTCCTTAGTAACAGTCCCAGAAGTCTTTGCGAAAGTTAACTCAGCTTCCTTCTCGTTCTTAAAGTGGCAAATTGGTTTCCCAAATACTTATCCACCGGGGGTGTCTGCGTAAGAGGCTATGACGGCTCACCATGGACGTCTTGACGTCCAAGTCAAAACCACGCCAAATAAAATCAGATTCATTCAGGACAGTGTTTCTTTTTCCTTCTTTCTCTGAGACCGTAAGCCGATGCCAGTAGTTCTCGCAGTTCAAACATGGGGGATTTCAAGCCTCAAAGAGGTCAGAAAGTGGCGTTGGCGTGAAGAGGAAGATGGAACAGTCCTTTTTTTCTTCCTATTTGCTTTTCGCACTACTCTCCATTTCCTCTCCTTACTTACCCCGTTGACTGCAAAAGCACGCATCAACACCTGAGTTAGTCCCTTATATAGACTTGCGAAGCTTTCATTTCTAACCTAGAAAATGATTAAATAACCAAGTTAGCCCAAAATACAGATTCTGCTGTATTCATTTTAAGGAGAGGTTTTGTGATGCTTCTTGCTTGACACCAATCTGTGTAAACAATTATTTTAAGACTGTATAGTGCTGAAATTGTCTAATACATCAATTTCTTTAAATTTCTGCTTTTTGTGTTACTTAAATGCGAAGCAAAAAAATTGTTTGTTACCTTGAAATAATTTTACGACCCATTTTGTGTTTCGTTTTGTCGCGAGCGACTGAGATTGCTCCAGAATTTTTTCCAAGTCGCTCTCCACTTAGAAACGTGTCTTTTCTTCTTCTTCCATTTGGAATTTATCAACAGCCTCGACAAGAGTTATTTCTATCTCCTCGTTCGCCCAGTCCGGCAAAATATTTTCCAAAGTTTCAAAATTTTCCGCCATTTTGAAAAAAAGAATTTTTTTCCCCTTCGGCTGATGACGTCAATCGTACATCTGTCCTCTAATACATCATAAGTTTTTAATCAAGTTTACGATCACATGGTTTCAAATGCTATTTTTCCTGCGCTTCAATCTTCTTACAGGCAATTCCATAGCACTGAAACTGCACTTATCAAGGTGATGAACGATATTTTGTTAAAG